AAATAGCATGTGGGGTGGGTGGGAGGGAGGAAAGATCCATTACTTTTCTCCAAGGAGGAGGACCTTGAAGTCTGCAACATAGAGAGGGTGAATTTTGAGGGATGGGGAAGATATTACTCTTGCCTAAAGGTATCAAGGAAATGTAAGTAGCTCCCTAAGCTTCAGCATTAAGTTATTATGAGATGGGGACAGAGGGGATAAAATTCCAGGGGTAGGCAGAGCTGGATTACAAAAGGCAGTGCTATGGATGTTCGACTTATCTTTTAGGACATAGGGAGCCTTTGAAGAACTTAGAGCAAAAGAGTGACATAGCAGGTTTTCACTTTATTAAAAAAAACCCACAACTCTGAAATCAAGCAGTGATGGAAGGAGGTGACATGCCAGTGATTCAGGGAACAGATAGCAAAGCTCTGAAAGAAATGGAAAGAAGAGGACAGATGTGAGGACTGTCTGGGAAGAAGGATCAGCAGGGTTTGGTACAGCAGAGGTGCAGCAGCGGAAGCATCAGGAAGACTCATGGTGCCCGGCTGGTGTGGCTCAGTGGTTGAGCGTCAACCCATGAATCAAGAGGTCACAGTTCGATTCCTGGTCAGGGCACACGCCCAGGTTGCAGGCTTGATGCCCAGTAGGGGGCATGCAGCAGGTGGCTGATCAATGGTTCTCTCTCCCATCATTGTTTCTCTCTCTCCCTCTCCCTTCCTCTCTTTCTAAAATCAATAAAAACATATTTTAAAAAAACATTCTCTCCTTAAAAAAAAAAAAAGAAGAAGACCCATGGCTTGCCCTGGCCAGTGGAGCTCAGCAATTAGAGCATTGGCCTGTGCACCAAAGTGTCACGGGTTCGATTCCTGGTCAAGGGCTCGTACCCGGGTTGCAGGTTTAATCTCCGGCCCTGGTGGTGTATGTGAGGGAGGCAACAAATCAATGTGTTTCTCTCACATCAATGTTTCTCTCTCTCTCTCTTCCTCCCTCCCTCTCCCTCTCTCTCTCCTTCCTCCTCCCTCCCCCACTTCCATCCTCTCTAAAAATCAAAGGAAAAATACCCTTGGATAAGGATTAACAACAACAACAACATGAGAAGAGATGATGAGCTGGCACAAGAAGAATGCAGAGAGTACAGCAGGTCAGGAATTAAACCCTGAGAAATATCAACATTTAAGGCCGTCTAAGATCAACTAATTAGATGTTCACTAGACATTATTCTGATTATAACTTGTCCATGTAGTTTTCCCTCAAGGATAAAATGCATTAATCAATATAAATTAGTATTTGGATCCTCTTGAAAGTTAAACTATATAAATTAGCAATTCTGGCTTATAGTCAGTCTCTTATGAGTTTGGTTATTGGGACTTGTTCCCTCCCCTAAACTTAGTTAACCCAGAAACTAGCGCCATGAAGCTGTGGACCAGCCGTGGACCAGCCCATGGCCCCCACACAAGTCACCAAGGCCTTTCCACCCAGTAAAGCTCCACCCTTTTCTGTCATCTCCATCTCCTGCCTACGCTTCACCTTGGCTTCCAGTTACAGCCTTGCCACAAGCCAGCTCCATAACTAGGAACATCTGAGTGAATCTTAACTCATTATCTATGAAAAGATGAGTCAGATTAAAATGATCTTTAAGGTCTTCCAACTAGCTCTTGTTCTACAAAGCACTGAACCCCTTGGAGGGCACAGAAGAACTGAACAGGATCCACGATTAGGGGAGAGACAGGCAGGTTCTCAAAAGTTGGCTCCCCCCTCCAAAATTCAGTCTGCCATGGGAACCTCAATGAAGGTTTCCCAGTTGGATACCAGGAGATTTTCTGTCAACTTACCAGTCATTTGACCCACCCCTAGACATCTGGATATACCAGTAAATCAGGAAAGTATTTCTTTCCTCCCAACACAGCTGAGCTCTTCTCTCTGAGCATGTGCAGGTCTCGTGGTAACAGAGCAACGTGCCAGAGTTGGGCACACCCCACCCCAGCCTCATCCGCCACTCCCAGCCCTACCTTCTCGTACTCGTCCTCCCCAGGGTTGTGCTTCTGCAGCCAGTCGGCCAGAGGCCGGTCCTTGAAGGAGCCGGTCACCCCGTGCTCCACCTGGATCTTGCGCAGGGTCTCGGCATTAGGGATCATCTCCACCATCCCTGTGAGGGAGGCACTGGGTCACTCTCCAGAGCAGAGAGAAGGGACTGCGGGAGAGAACTATAAGTGCTTTGCCAGATGGTTCTCTGTAAATTAAACTCTAGGGCATTTGGACCAAGTCCGATAATATGGGAAGAAGATCATGGTAGAAAGGACGCCGTTCATCAGGTCTCACATCCCACATTGTGACTGGTCTCTCCTATTCGTAGCTGCTGTTCCTTTTTGTTTTTAATTTTCTAATACATATAATAAAGAAATGGATCATGTATTCATTCATAACCACTGCCCAGTTTCAAAAATTATCAACACTTTTGCTAACCTTGTTTAATCTATTTCACTTACCCAACACTGCTGCTTCCACCCCCTGCCTGGAGTATTTTTTAAAAATATATTTGTATTGCCCTGGCTGGTTTGCTTAGAGTGTCGGCCCATGGACTGAAGGGTCCTGGGTTCAATTCTAGCCAAGGGCAGGAACCTTGGTTGCAGGCTGGATTCCTGGCCCTGGTCAGGGCGCATGCGGGAGGCAACCAATCAATGTGTCTCTCTCACATCGATGTTTCTCTCACTCCCTCTCTCTTTCTCTCTTTCCCCCCTTTCCACTCTCTCTGAAAAGCAACGGAAAAAATATCTTCAAGTGAGAATTTAAAAAAAAATTTTATTGATTTTTTAGAGAAAGAGGAAGGGAGGGGGGAGAGAAAGAGAAACATCTATGTGAGAGTAGACCATCGATCAGCTGCCTCCTGCATGCCCCCCACTGGGGATCAAGGCTGCAACTCAGGCATGTGCCCTGACCGGGAATCAAACCAGTAACCTTTAGGTGAATGGGACAACACCCAACCAACTGAGCCATCCTAGTCAGCGTATGGTTGGAATATTTTAAAGCAAATCCCAGACAAGTCATTTCACTCATAAATATTTCAAGGAAAACTAACAAGGACAAAACCACAATGCCATTATCACATTCAAAATTAACAACTGTTCTTTAATCTCATCTAATCTAATCACACCTAACCTGATCCATATTCATATTTTCCCCAATTGTCTCAAAAAATATCTTTTTTACAGCTGGTTTGGTTGAATTGGGATCCAAAGTCTATAGAGTACGTTTGGTTGTTCTGTTTTAGAAGTCTCTCTCCCTGCCTTCTTTTTTTATGCCACTCCACAGCCCCTAATGGAATCATCTTGCCCTTTCCACGTTGCCTGAAGCACACGGTTGTGTTGGGAATAGGCAAAGGGACAGTAAGCAAAGGGCACCCCCCACCCTACCCTCCACCTGTTCACAGCCCCGCCCACTGCCAACTGACCTCTCCCCCTTCCGGTGGAGAAGCAGCGGAAAATCACCATGCGCATGTCCAGCCCCTCCTGGACCCAGATCTTGTTCATGATGCGAATCATCTGCAGGGTGAGCATGTCCTGACGAAGGTCATCCCCACACTGGAGGGAGGAAGAGAGTGATGACCAGAGCCATCTCTACCACCTCCCTCGGTTCCCAGGTCTCCCAGGAGGATCCAGACAACAGTGACAGGGAGAGACTGTCCAGTTCTCCACCTCTGATGTGCCCACTCAGCTTATACCAGGTCAAAACACCAGAAAGGAGTCATGTGGGGTTCCGGCTCTTCCCCAACCCCACATTCCCATCCAAACTGAAGTCAGGTTCCCCTTCCTCACGCAGCCCTCCTGACCAAGCCTTTTTAAAACGTGAATCTTTATACCTTGGATTCAGAACTTACACACAACAAATATTATATATATATATATTTATATTACCATACCACATATGTACATTTC